AGGCAGCTTGTACTGCTCTCAGTTGGGTTGGGTTGCGTTGGGCTTTAAACTGTATCTTTGGTTGAGGTTTGCTCTGTGTTTTTCTTACTCTGAAAATAGTTGGCCTCAAGGTAGGTTCTGCTCAAGGTGATTAAAGAGAACAATATGAGTTCATTTTAAGCCTTTGCCTGTGCTTCACCCACTAAAATTTCAAAGGCTAAAAAAATAAAAATAATTTTAAAAAAAAGAATGCCAAGTTCATTTTGGCTGATGTTTTAGTCCAGGATAGGCCAGCTCCTAAGAAGAAACAGTGTGGCAGACAGGAATCAGAGAGAAGGAAAGAGCAGAGGACAAAGATAACCCTTTTCTGCCCAAGTCCCCAGTGACCCACCTCGCACCAGGGTCCCCACCCTAATAGTAAGTCAGCTATACCACCCCATAATTTAATCACCTTCTACAAGCTCCAGCTATGAGATCATGAGGCTCTTGAGGGACATCTAGATATAAACCACCACAACAAATAAATACTTAGCCTAACAAATTACTAAAGACCTCTACAACAAAAACTACAGTACTTTGAAAAAGAAGATCAACGAGGAATCAGAAAGTGGAAAAACATCTCCTGTTCTTGAGTAGTCAGGATTAATTGTCAAAATGGCCACACTGCCAAAACTAATGCACATATTTAATGGAATTCCAATCAGAATAATAACAGCATTTCTCAGAAAACTGGTGAAAATCCTAAAATTTGTGTGGAACCAGAAGAGAATCAGAAAAGCAAAAACAACCCTGAATAATGAGAACCAAGCAGTAGGCTTCATAATCCCAGATTTTGAGTTATGGTACAAAGCTACAGTGATAAAAACAGCATGATACTGAATGAAAAGTAGGTATATTAATCAGTGAAACAGAACAGAAGATGAAAACCCAGGTACATTCAAGTATCTGATCTTTATTTTTAAATTTTATTGTTTTATTTTGAAGAGAAAAACAGCAGAAAAATAGACAGAAACAGGGTAATATACAACAATACATATGTTACAGATTTCCAAACAAGAATAGCTAATTAACAATGGTTGTTATATTATCTATTTTTATAGTCAAATCTGTTGCTCAGATTAACAGATACTGTTATAGAACATTGTACAAATAATTAAATATTAACTCTTGCTTTCAATAAAATTTAAATGTTCATTCTCTACTTTTTTAAATTTATGTTAAAGAGAGTATAATAATAATTGATATAATACATTGGAAACAGTACACATTCAGAAGACCAAGATGAAAGGTATTCAACCATGGTTTTTGTATTTCACATTGCTGTCCTCAGTGTAGTTGCTTAGATCACAGATAGCAGCACACAGAGTCAAGGTGAAAATTCTAAATACTATGCTATTTAAAAAAAAAACTGATGGGAATTATTAGTACAATCATCTCAGCCATCCTGTATTTATACTTGTATGATTTCCTGCTTCCATTTTTCCTATTCTTTCTCCTTTCTCTCATATCTGTTGTTTAAGCCTTCAGTTCTGTTTCTTTCTGTTATACAATGTCTATTATACCTTCCAGATATTGTCTATTCTTTCAAGTTATTACACTAGGAAAACAAGATGATATTTAAACATATGGCTCTGATTCATTACACTTATGAGTATAGCCGCTAGTTGCATCCACTTACCTATAAAGGCCTTAAGTTTGTCTTTCTTTATAGCTTAGTAAAACTCCATTGTATAAAAATACCACATATTTTTCATCTGTTCCTCAGGTGTTGGGCATCTTGGTGGTTTCCAAGATTTGGCTATCATAAATTGTGCTGCTACAAACATGGGTGCACCTATATCATTGTGGTATGATATTTTCAGTTCTTTTAGGAAAATACCCAGACTGGGAATAGCTGGATTGAATGGGATTTTCAGTCCTAGTTTTTTGAGGAGTCTTCACACTGATTTTCATAGTGATTATACTAGTCTACATTCCCACCAGCAGTGGAGATTCTGTCCAGCATTTGTTATTAGTTGATTTCTTTATGTTAGCCATTCTTTCTAGGATGAGATAGTATCTCAACGTTGTTTTAATTTGGATTTCTTGGATGGCCACTGATTTGGAACATTTTTTCATGTATCTTTTTGTCTCTTGTATTTCTTCCCTTGAAAAGTGTGTATCCATCTCAGATGCCCATTTTTGGATTGGGTGTTTAGATTTTGGGGGCCTACCTGTGAGTGTGGGAGAGCTCCTGCTCTCCCCTGCACCTGCTGGACCTCTCTGGGCCAAGCCAGGGCCACCACATGAGTAAGGCTCTTCATCACGCTGTACCCTACTGCATGCCTGTATTGCTCCTTCAAGGTTTCTGTCATTTTTCTATTCTCTTTTTGTTATCAGTGTCTTCTTTAGAAATGTTTAGTAATTCTTTCACTATAGTTATGATTTTTTTTTACTTCAGAGATTATTTCTAATCTGATTTCCTCTATACCTTTCTGCAGTTGTTTCTTTACTTAAGTTGCTATTTTTTCTGCAATTTCAGGTGTGTGGCTTCCAGTTTATTTCATGCTGATGTCTCTTGAGTTAGTTCTGTGTGGGCTTGGGGCCTGAGAATGCATTTTCATCCTTTTTGTCATTTTCTATTTCAGACAGAACTCTTTATTTGATTTCTAAGATACTTTTCTGTGAAAATTTGATAGTAGGTAGCTGTATCACTGGAATCGGAAACTCTCTATAAATAGTGCGTTCTTTAGTTATCTCTCCCATGTCAGAGATTCTTCTTTTGTGTGTGTGCCAGGCTTTTGTCTTCTCTATTGATTGAGAGTGAGATATTGGCTGCCATTTGGCGCTGTCCTCTGTCCTTCAGTACAGGACTTTGTTGAGGTTATTACCCAAGCGCTTCCCAATATTATTACCCAAGGGAGAAACTGTGATTAATGGTTTTCTATTTACTGTAGTAGAATACTAATAACACCTAGTGAAATTTAGAAACTGATGAACTTTTGCAACTAATGGTTTGTACTTTAGACCATAGAGCAAACATTATGGCTATATAATAAAGCAGGTCTTAAATTGTGAACTTGTATGTAAGTTAGTTTCCCTGAGTTCTGTCTGGGAACTTCCCCTCCATGTACTGGGAGTCTTCCAGGCAGACTAGTTCACTCAGTTTACCTCCTGACATCTCTGTGCTGTGATGATCCTTCTGTAGGTCAGGGCCTTGGTCTAGATCCAGCTGGGCCTAGGAGTCAGCCTCAGCTCACCGGATCTAGTTCTACCAAACTCAGCGTCAACTGGCTGGGCTTGACCTGGGTCTGGCTGCTGTGCTTGGCTCCTTCTGGCTGCAGCCCACTGAAGTAGAGTGGATCAGCTGGGCCTGGCTGGCTACTGGGCTCTAGTCAAGTATCCAATCTTTGACAGTAGAGCAAATATGTCCTGGAGGGAAGGTACCTTTTTTATTAAATGGCACTGGGAAAATTAAATATCCACATGCAAAGGATTGAGTCTAGATCCACATATTTCACTAAACTAAAATAAAGAGAAATCAAATATCTGCATGTTAAAACAGAAGTACATCATCTGTTGGAAGATAAAATAGATAAACCTGCTGTAGACATAAGTATAGGTAAAGACTTTTGTAGCAAAACCCAGGGTCCACAAGAAATAATGCTAGGGGGGCTGGTGAGATGGCTCAGTGGTCTAAAGCACCTACTTAAAACAAACTTAGCAAAGCACAGGGACCACGGTTCAATCCCCCAGCACCACATGCCAGCCAGCCCCGCCCCCTGGTGGGCTGAGCTGGCCACACACACACACACACACACACACACACATAAATAAATAAATAAATAAATAAAATTAAAAAAAAAAAGAAAAGAAAAGAAAAGAAAAGAAAAGAAAAGAAAGAATGCTAGGAATCCACAGATGGGGTCATATCAGATTAAAAGGCTTCCGCACAGCAAAGGAAGAAGCAGAGTAAAGAAACAACTTACAGAATGGGAAAAATACTATTTATTCCTTGGAAAAAATGATTAATATCTAGAATATATAAAGAACTCAAAAAATTAGACCCTTTCAAAATAAAATATCCAATAAAAATATGAGCAACTGAAATTAATAGATACTTCCCAGAAGTATAAATGGCCAATAAGTACATGGGAAAAAAAAAAAAAAAAAAAAAAACTTCAACATTTCTGGCCAGTAAAGGAATGTTAATACTATTGAGATTTCATCTTACTCCAGAAAAAATATTACCAAGAAATCAAATAAAGACATCAAATTAAGAATAAATCAAATATCCTTGCCAAATCAAATGTTGGTGAGGATGTGGGGGAAAAAAAAAAAAACCCTGCTATGTTGGTGTGAACTAGTAAAACTACTTTGGAAATCAGTACAGAAATTCCTTAAAAATCCAAAAGTAGAAATTTCATTTAATCCAGATATTCTCCTTTTAGATATTTTCCTGAAAAAAGTAAAGACATCATATTATAGAGACCCATGCCTATCCATGTTTACAGTAACACAATTGATAATAGTTAAATCTTGAAAGTAAGTCCATCAACAGATGAATGGATGAAGAAAATGTGACATGTACCCATAATGGAGTACTATTTTGCTATGAAGAAAGATAAACTTAAGTTGTTTGTAAAAATTGGCAAACCTTGAGACCATAATGTTGAGTGAAATAAATCAGATACACAAGCTTACATGTCACAGAGTTTCTCTTATGTAAGAAGCCAAGAATATAAATCAAGAGCAAAATAAAAAATAGACAATAGGAAATAAGAAAATAGATCTTTTGCAAATGGAAGGGAGGTACTTGCTAACATATTTGTCAAATGTTTAATTCTATAATGCCAAAAGCAGTATTGATGCACATTTTCATCACTGGATACTCAGCGACCCACTGACTCAATGGCAGAAGCCTTCTGCAAATGGGAGTGTGTTTAAGGTGTCAGTTGGCTCACTCATGTTGTCCCTTATTTCCTTCTCTTCATGTGTTCCTTGTTTCTGTTCTCATCTTGCCAAGATATCTGATCAGGCAAATGTCTACTGAAGCTGTTCCCTCTGGAGACTAATCCTTGTCCTACATACATGGCCTCCCCAAGAGGAATTTCAAAGGCTAGTCTATGGCACAAAGGGCAGGAGGAGACTTTTGCCAGCCTGAAGTGAGTAGTTGAAAACTGATGGGTATTTTATATTGTGCATGAACAGGTGTTAGTCTTGACCACATGTTTTGGCATTGAACAGATAAAGACAGTCTGAGATGCAGGCCAGGCAGCATTCCAGGAAGCTTTCCTGAGGATTTCACAGACAATGCCTCAAAACTGAGCTCCCCACTCTCCTTCATAAAGGTGCCAAAGCTCAGAAGGTCCACAGTTGTCCTGATCAACTTAGTCAGGATCTTGTCTTCTTTGGTCTGCAAGGAAGAGACTGAGGGGGTCTCTATTTTTTATTCTAAATTCTCATACAATCATAATGATATTTTGGAAAAGACAGATGGGGGACATTGAAGAGCTTATGTGTCCTCTGAGAAGATTTACTTCCTGTCTTTTACTGCCAAATAAATCTGAGGCAAGGTAAACAAAGTCACTCCCTGACTGAATGTTCACTTCACTTGGAGGTGTCTCTTCCTGTCCTGTTCTAGCAAGGCCTTCAGGAGGACAATCTGAGGCTAGCACCTGGTGCTCTGCAGATTTCCTTGGGCCTTCACCTGTTTCATGTTAGAGCAATATTCACCCTGCCTCTGTTTTACTAGGACATTGCTCAGAAGGCAAGTGAAATGACGTGAGCAGATGCTTTCCTTCTCATCCTGGTCAGACAAGGACTCAGATCGCACCCTTTGAGTGACAGCTTGTTGGACCAGCTTCAGGAAGAGCTGAAGGCCCTGGACCCTGTCTCTTCAGGATTCCTCCTCACATGTCAATTGATCCACTTTCTCCTGAGGCTTAAGATTCCCCTGAAGTTGCCCACAGTCCAACTCCTTTGCCAGAGTTTCTCCAGAAGTGGCTCTCCTGAAATGGTAGAACATCTTGCTATGCTCAACTTTAGTGCCTCTTATTTGTGCCAAGAGGTTGTTCCCTACTTGAAATTAACCTCGCTTATGAATCCTTAAGCTTAGATTCATGCATAGAAGTTTCTAATCAGAACAGTCCAGATTTAGGTCTCTTAGCTCTATTTGATTTCTGTTGCAAGGGCTTTCATCACCTGCTCCTACCCCAGGGAGGATGATGACAGATTCAGTGTGATGGAGCCACTTGAGACTGTCCTGAGATGACTTGGCCTGTGTGCCCCAGTGTAAGAAGGGAAGGTGAGGCAAACCTACATGTTGTGGCCTTAGGGTTAATGGGAATAGTATCTTTAAAATATGATTTACCAGGCCTGCCAAAGAGCTCAGTAGATTAAAACACCTGCAAGCAGGCACAGGTGCTGGAGGGTTCGATCCCCAGGCCTGCTATGTTGGCCCCACCCCCAGGGCATGCTAAAATGGTGATTGAGACTGAGCATGGTGGCATGTGCCTATAATCCCAGAACTTGGGAGGCTGTAAACAGGAGAATCACTATGAGTCTGATCTAGTAGTGAGACCCTGAATGCCCTGTAGATCCTTCCCTAAAAATACAGAAAAAATATATGATTTACCACCACCACTTTACCGATTAGTAAAGTGAAGGCCAGAGGCTCTCTAGAAACTGGCTCAGACCACCCAAGCAATGAATGGCAGATCCAGTACTGAGACATATGCTGTCCAGCAACAAAGCCAGAGTCTTTGGGCACTGTCTAGGGGCTCTGTATCCAAACTCACACCCCAAGTTGAAAATAGAGTGACCCAAGTAAGGCAAATTCACAAAGCCATGGGAAAATATTCTACACTAGGAAAGGGTAATAATGAGGAGAAAATCATGAGTAAGCTGACTACAAGGCCACAGATAGAGTAAGCCTCAAGACAGAGGCCTGGGCTGTGGCCCTAATTCCAGCCCCATCCTCACAGTGACATGGGGTCTTCTCTACTTATTGTTCTCATGCCTTAGTGACCTCAGTTTCAAAACCACATCATGGTGCAGATCTCAGATGCTGCCTCAGGAGTTAGCAATGTGATAAATGCAAATTGAGCACCAACTAAAGGCTATGTCTAGCATTTAGTAGGTGCTCAGATATGTATTGATACTCTCCCAGAGCTGCATAATGGAATTCATTGTGTATTTATGAGAAGTTTTAGCAATATGATGTTAATTTATTTATAAGCCTCAAGAATCTTCAGTGTAATTGTTTTCTAGCCTGAGACATGGTTAGATCAGAGACCCTGCCTGGCCTCCCTCCTTCACTTCAGCCTCACTCCCTGCAGTTGTCTGTGCACTCATGCCTCAGGGTGCCATTCCAACTGCAACATGGAGTCAAAGGACATTCTTCTTGAATTTCTGCCTGAAATTTGTCATCAAGTCCAACAAATTCTTACCCCTAGAAATTATGAAATAATCTGCTGGATACATCTAAATATAAGCATGTCATATATAATAAATACAAAGTATGGTTAAAAATACAGTGTGTCTAAATTTGAAAAAATCATATTACAGTAAAATCATATTGCCACAAGTCCCCTTCACAATCTTTCAAACATGCTTGTCCCATGGTTCTTGCTAATTGCAGAAGCAGTTCTAGAGCCCTCTTGCTACAGATCTTTAGTTGTGCATTCCTGGCTACCTCCAAATCATGTTTCTGCAAGCCTGTCTTTCTGTTGGATGGCATGCAGTGGCAGGAGTTTCTTTATTTTTATCAAATATCCTAAAGACTCTCCCAAGAGAGGACTCCAGAACTGCTTTAGTCAGTGGCAAGAACGATGAATGAGTGTGTTTGAAGTGAGGAAGTCTATCCTGAGGGAGATTAATAGCAATGTGTCATCTACTGTAATAATATTTTTATTTAAACATTACTATATTTTTCTATTACCCCTGTATATTGGAGATGTGAGAAGGTAAGAGAGAGAAGCTAGACTAGGCTAGCTGTGCTATTTTAACAACTCAGATCCTCAGGGGCTTAGAACAGAAATTTGTGTTCTTGTTTTTAACTTAAATTACATTCCATAAAGTCAGGCATAGCCCTCTCAGCCACTAGTGTTACCTTACCTGCAACACCCAGGCTGCTACAGGTTCCCTGGAATATTTTTGGACAGTGGCAAGGGCAGAAGAGAAGGATGCGGAAGGGTGCACAGGTGCCCAGAGTGGAAATGGCCACTTTTCACAGCTCAGGGCCAGAGCTGGGCATACTCACCCAACCATGAGTAACCAGGAAGTAAAACTTACTTTTGTCCAGAGAGGTGATAAGAGGAATATTTGACGGGCTGGCCAGATAGCTCAACAGACTAAAGTGCCTGCTTAGGCAGTTACAGGGACTGGGGTTTGATCCCCAGTGTACTGTGCCAGCCCTGCCCCCAGGAAGTGCTGAGAAGGCAACTGAATCTGGGCGTGGTGGTGCACGCCTGTAAACCCAGCGCCTGGGAGGCTGAAAGCAGGAGGATCACTACGAGTCCGATCTGTGTAATGAGACCCTGTAGACACTGTACTAAATACTTAAAAAAAAAAGAATACTTGAAAAAAATCTACTAATAATTATATTTTAAGATCAGTTTTTAAAACTTTTGTTGGTAAAATTTTTCCAAATGCATTTTTTGTCAGCAGCCTATTTCCCATCAGTGTGAACTAAACAAGGATATTCTATTTTACACTTCATTTCAGGTGAATTACGGAAAGTTTCTCTGCTCTTTACACAACGCAGCTTCCGATGATTCACAGCAAAGTGGAGCAGCTGCAGACGGCAACCCAAGGGAAGGCCAAGGTAGAGCAATGCTACCCGAAGGTGCCCTGTCTTCTTTGGACATACTGCTCTAGATGCCCAAGCAGCCGGGCTACCCTAAGAAAGTACCACAGCCAAAATAGCTCCAAAGGACATATATTTACTTCCCAAAGGCTGGAAAGTAAAAGTCCAAGATGACAGCCCAGCCAGCCAGGGTGGCCAAGAGCCATTTCTGGGGTTGAAGATGCTGACCCTGCAAGATCTGATCAGGTGAAAACGCCAGGGCAGCACGCTGATGCCTCACCGGTGCAGAGAGCATGGCTTTGCTCTCCACAGTGGGGTTTCTGGTCGTGGGCTCTCAAGCTTGCTGTCTCTGTCCCTGTCTCTGTCTCTGTCTGTCTCTGTCTCTCTCTGTGTCTCTGTCTCTGTCTCTGTTTCTCTCTTCTCTCTCTCTGTCTCTGTCTCTGTTTCTCTCTTCTCTCTCTCTCTCTCTGTCTCTGTCTGTCTCTACCCTCTCTCCCCTTTCTCTCCTCTCCACTTTTCCCTCTCCCCTCTCCCCTCTCCCCATCTCCTATCTCTCTTTCTCCCCGCTCTCCTCTGTTTCTCTTTTCATCCCCATTGCAGAAAGTGTTCTGTAGCCAGGACGTCTCTTTCTCAACAGCAAGCATGTACATTTTTATGTGGTTGTGCGGAAATGAAAAGCACCCTATGAACTAAGAATCAACTGTGTGCAAGTACAGAGCTCAGCTGCACCGCGGAGCTCAGTAAGTGAAGCCCTTCAGTACAGGTCCAGCCTGAGGTATGCAGTACAGAAGCCAACAATTCATTTGCAAGTTAGCAAAGGGGAAAAATTAATTAAAACTAGGATTTGAGAAGCTAGCTGTGATAGCACATGCTTATAATGCTAGCACTTGGGAGACTGACACAGGAGTATTTTCTCAAATTGGAGGCCAGCCTGGGCTTCAGAGTGAATTCAAAACCAATCTGGACTACATAGTGAGAACCTGTCACAAAAAAAAAAAAGAAAAAAAAGACAACTTTAAAAAAGTAGGATTTGGGGCCAGGGAGATGGCTCAGTAGGATAAGCGCTTGACTGGCAAATGCAAGGATCTGAGTTCAATCCCTGGTTCTGCAAAATAAATAAATAAATAAATAAATAGGATTTGAAAAATAGAATTAGATGCACATATATCATTATGGTATGATGCTTTTTTAAAAAAAAATTAGTACAAGTTCTCACTACACAGATCATACTCACAGTGATCCTCCTGTTTTCAGCCTCGCAAGCCCTGGGATTACAGGCTTGTGCCACCACTTCCAGTTCCAGTCGTTGCCATCTCAGAACCCCCTCTGGGTGTGGGAGGGGGGCGCGGAGGCAGGGCCAGGGCCGGCGCAGCAGGCCGCATGTCAAACCTTGGTCCCTGCATCTGCCTAAACAGGCATTTTAATCTACTGAGCTATCTGGCCAGTCTGGTATGGTGCTTATAATTCTTTTGGGAGGATAACAAGAAAGGAAAGTAGCTAGGTCAAATGGGACCTCTAGTTTTAGATTTTTAAGAAATATTCACACTGATTTTCACAGAGGTCACACCTGTCTACACTCTGACCAAGAGTGGATAAAAGTTCTTTTTTCCTCAGAGCCACATCATCTTTTGTTATTGGTTGATTTGTTGATAATAGCCATTATTTTTGGAGTAGTTTGTAATAGCTTAGTCATGGAAACAACCCAAATACTCATCAACTGAGGAATGGACAAAAAAGGGTTTGGTTTTTTTACACAATGAAGTACTACTCAGACAAAAAGAAGGATAAACTTGAGACATTTATAACTAAGTGGATGGACCTTATTCTTAGGTAAAAGAATTGGACACATATTTGTAAATATTGCATTCTCTTGCTGGCATGAGAAAGTGAAAGTGTAAATAAGAACTAAAATGTATAATAGCTATTGTAAAATAGAAAGTATTCAAAGGGAGAGGGAAAATGAGGTCAAAGGAAAAAGAAAAAACTAGAAAAAATAAAATGGAAACAAAGCTTTGTGAATTTTTAGGGACAGGGTAAGTAAGAGGAAAGGAATGGGGAGTAAAAATGAACTAAGATATATCATGTACAGGTGCACACACCCAGTGATGAATGTCATCATTAGGCATATCTAAATTATACCAAGAAACTTAATTATTTAAAAATTGAATTCAACCACACATCAAAAATGTCATTCACTATGAACAAGCTGGTTTCTTTGCAAGGATGCCACAGTGGTTCGATATCTTCAAATCAATAAACATGATATATACGTCAAATAAAATGAAGGATAAAAATTTTATTATTTCAATAAATTCATGAAATTATTTGACTAACAAAAAGAAAAATACAATTAGAGATAAATTAAAGTATGATCCTTTCCACATTCCCCAAGAAATTGATGCAGAACAGGGAGATCAATCTGCTTAGCATTCTAGTCACAGGACCCTGGCTCAGTCAAGAATACCTGTATTGCATATATTTGCATACCACACTGTGAACAAATTATCACTCCAGCTACTTCTCTAGCTTTCTTAGACCAAAGCCATGGGGATGCAGCACACCACACAGATTCTCTGGTCAAAGGGGCTGGTAGGAGCTGCTTTGCTTTGCTATAGAAATGAATAATTTGGAAATTTGGCTCACCATTAATAATTATCTAAGTTTCAGAAAAAAACAAGATTAAACAGGAAAGTGAACTAGTTTTTTACGTTTGTTTCCCCTCAAATTGGAAGAAAGTGCTAGAAAGGTGAATTAAAACTGTGGTTCATACAGCCGGCAGGTGGGTCCCTTCAGCAAGAATCTTGCTCACTCTGGGGGCAGTCTTGAGTTATTCTGTGATGAGTCCCCAGCCAGGGTTTCAAGGTTAGGGCTGAGGCAGCTGGATTCCAGGGTGCAGAGGTTAGGGCAAGGTTATTGGAGAGCAGATTGAGGAACACAGTAGAAAGACATGCAGCTGCTTGTGTGATCCATCTTTCCTCAGTTTGTCTCCTGCCCTTCTACCCAGTGCCTTACCTTGGCCATCAGACACTGACCAGAGCCTGCTGGACATTCTGAAGATGGTTTGCAGACACCCAGCAGCCAACTCAGCATAGAGCAGCTCAACCTGTGCTTTTGAAGAGAAGGTAAATCATTCTCTGGCTGCCTTCCCCTCCCAAGGTAGCAACAATCAATCATTAGGTTGCTCAGCTTCCAAAGGCTCCTTCATCCCCCTGAGTCTATACTAATCCAGCATAGCTGTGGTCTGTGTTCTTCCTTAGAGTCCTCATGGAATTGTTTGACTTCTTGTGTGACAGGAGAAAAACACAATAGAAATAGAATTATGTAATGTGTGGAACTGGTCCAGAATGACATTGGGCTGTTTTGTGTTGATAGAAAATATGACAACATTCTGATAATATTTTGTGATGGAAAAATGAGTATTCTTTCCAGGCCAGATTCATTTCTAATATCTTCCCTTAGCTTCCAGTGAGACCTGTATGCTGTATCTCATTCCTAGGAACACCACTTGCAGGGACTGATGTAACATTACTGATAGAGGTCAGCACACTGCTTTGGAACATTAACTGTGCAGACATGTTCTCTGGAAAAGTATCCAGGACTGCATTGATTCATGGTTCTTTTGTAGCACAGACTACTCTGGATATAGGTGAAACAATCATGGTCACTGCTGCTGTCACTGAATTAACTGTACCTCATCTCTACCTCACAACTGGATTGTTACTCTGTCCTAAGCATTGTGCTACTTTATTTACATGGTTTCCTTAAAAGGTTAATCCTTTAAAAAAATACCACAGAATCTAGTAGGTATTTAAAGGATTAAAAGGTTAATCCTTTAAAAAATACCACAGAACCACCGTATGATTTCATAAATGAAATAAAAGGGAGTCTTAGAAAGGCCAGTTTTATCACCTGGGGCCACAGGTAACAATGGCAAAGCCAAAACTCTTCCAGGAGAGACTTCCATTGAGCCTGCTATTCACTAGTGTGAATTCTAGAGTGCTAAAAAAAAAGTGGAAATTATAGGAGAAAAAGAGTCTTGTCAGAAAAACTGGAGTATATCTCTCATCTATGTACAAAGAGATTAGAATTGAGAAAGTCATGGAATTTTACTATGGAAGAAAGGGTACGATATATCGCATGTGAGCTTTTATTCTAGGATAAAAACTGCATTTACACAGTGTGCCATGCAATGCAAAGCTTGTGTTGTAGTTCAGTACAAACTACATGTGAAAGCATGTTTCAATTAAAGCGAGTCTGTATACCCTCAATGGGCTTTAGTATGCACACTAGCAGAACTATAGAAATAGACTGAAGAACAGTAATTCCTTGTTAGATTAGAAGACAAAATAACACCCTTGGGGAAGCCTAAATGCTCCCAGACTTTCATACAATTGAAAGCTTGAACATTATAACATATTTATTTAATCTCTTTGAGTCTCACATCTTCATCTGGAAAACCTTCTTTCAAATAAGTACCTCCACTGCCTACTGGGAGGATTAAATCAGACAAATACGTGAAACTACTTAGCATACTACCTGATATACAAGGCTCTAAATAAGTGTTAGTTTCCCACTTTCCAAACAAATCCATCTGATGAGGATCTGACTTTTAAACATCTAAAGAAAGCAGGATTGTTCCCATGGTCAAGCAAGGACCCCATGGATCCCCAGCTACCAGAGATATTTTTATTGTTCCCCACAGCTGGGCTTCAAAGCTTAACTTTGTGGTTTAGATCCAAGGAAATGGGGTGCATTTTTCTTGAAGCTACTCAGCCTTTTGTGAGCCATCTGGCATCTTTTAAGAAATCTGGAACTCACTCAAAGTGTATTGCAGTTCTGGGAGGCATGTGAAATAGAATTATATTTCCCCAGAATGTGAGGTGAATGTCAGCCCAAGGGACACTGCGTACACGAAGCCATAACAGTCACACCCAGCTTCCTTGCTCCTGGACACAGCACTGAGTAGAATGAGAAGACCCTATACTGAAGGCTTTTTCCTTTTAATCAGTCATTCTTCTTCTCTTTGGATGACACAAGAGAGAATCCATGACCTTTGTGTGTCCCATGAAAGCTATAGTCTCTCCCAAGGAAAAATAAAGGAATAGTCATACCTACCATTTAAAGAGTTGACTGTCTGTAACTTGCAAGATACATAAACACCATTCTCAAGGATAATATGAGTATTGTTCCTCAAATCAATGGAATCCTGTCTGTTTATAAAGAATAGCACAGAAATAAGTTAACTATCTGTTCTCTTCATTGTGTGGAGACCCTTATCCTATTCCTCACACTCGTCTTCAATGTGATGATGGGTTTTGGCAGGGCTGCTAAACAGTGTGGATTCACATACATTGATTTATTAGCTGTTGTGCCCATACCCAAGTCAAGTGTAGACTCCATGTGGCTAGGAAACCTGAGAAGTTGTGAAGGTATCAGCTCAGCTTAGCCCTCTTATGCATAATGCATATTCCTGACTTCTGAAACTAATCCCTACTCTGCCTTATGTCACAGACTCTCCCCCACTTTTACCTGGCTTCCCTTCTTCTTGTAGCAAGCTCTCTAGCACACAGACTGCTCACCTCTAGTTACTCTTTGCCTCATTGTCATGCAACTTTCTCATTATCATCAGGATGCAAACATTCCTATGGCTGAACTGATGGAGATTTGTAAATATGAGGTTTACTCTTGCAGTCAGACTCCAGCCAGAATGCCAGTAGAACTAACCTGATGGTCAGTCCTCCTTCTACAGTTTGTCAGGTTTCTTTCTCATGTTTAACTGTCATATCTATAAACTGCGCTAAGACAAAGGATTTCTACTAGTCTTGACTCATTTCCCTCTTTTAAGACAAAAGCTTTCTTTCTGATCAACATGGCACATGTATTCTTCCATTTGTCACAAAAATCATTCAGTATTCTCTCAGCACTGTGATAGGCACTGAGGACAACAAGCCCTGTGAAGACTGTCTAGAATCAGGACTAGAAAATCTAGTGCTTTATACTCCCAGCAATACCAAGGCCTTGGCAGCTGACAGCCAGCATGTGAAGTGATGGGGAGAAACTCAAGTTGAGGGGAAGGACGAAGTTGGCAGTTATCACTCTGTCAAGCAATGTTTTGAGAAATAGTTGTTTTATGTGTAACTTTTGAATAACGTAGACATTTTGATTGCAACAGAAGAAAAACAAACATTTTCATTATGGATCTTTGTACTCTGAAGGTTTTGAGAACAGTCTTCTGCAGCACCCAGGGCTCTCTGGAGTGTTTCCATGCTGCTCTGCTCTCTGTGTGCATTGTCTCTCAGGGCTCTCCATCGTTCTTTCAGCAACACTGCTACCCTATTGATAACCTGATGTTCATTGTAGCTCACAGCAAAACTTAGTGTTGCCAAAAGTAAGGAATGTGTTTGTTTATTTATTTATTGATTGATTGATTGATTGATTGATTGTATTTGGTACAGGGTCTCACCATGCAGCTCATACTCATAGTGATCCACCTTTTTCAGCTTGCCCAGAACTGGGATTACAGGTCTGCACCACCGTGCCTCGAGTCGGTCACTGGCTCAGTGTGTTCAGGCATGGAACCAGCAAGGCATGTGGTGCCAAGGATTGGACCCTAGTCCCAAGCTTTCCTAAGTAGGCACTTAGTCCACTGAGCTATCTTGCTGGCCCAGGAATCTGTTTTTAGAATAACTTTTTAATATTAATGTTTAAAAATACACCAACATACTGTTCTCAGGAGAAAAACTTAGGGTTTTTTAGGGTGACCAAAACCTCTGGTTTTGCCAACCTCCAAATACACCCTCCACTCTTCAGTGATTTCAACACATTCATTCACCCTCTCATTCATCCATGTGTCCAATTGTTGGCCATTTAGTTTTCAAGACTGTGCTAGGCAATTGTGATTAAAAAAAAGAAAAGAAAAAGAAACACTTTCAGCTCTCAGTAGCAACCATCTTGGAAGGAAGCTCAGCCATTACAAAAGGATGTACAGAAAGAGTAGAATGGAAATTTCAGCATGGACCCTACATTAGTTCATTAATTCATCCGTGATTTTCACGTGCTTTTCCTGTGTTCCCCAGCTTCTTATTCTTGTAATAAACTGAATCTAGTTCTTCATATTTCAAAATATTCCTTCAATTTTCTTGTTAAAACTTCCCTGACTTTATTTCTTTACATCTAAATTTCAAACTCAAATGTGTTGTCTTTCCTTCGATGAAGATAAGTTCTTTGTTACTGATTATTTTTGGGCAGAGAGGAAGGTTGTTGTTGCCACTTTTTGTTTGTGTGGTGCTGAGGATGGAATCCAGAGACTTGGGAGTGCTAAGTAAAGCTGCACCACTGAGCTACATGCCTGACCCTTGCCATTATTTAGAAA